AAACTTCTCCCAGTTTGCAGTGTGGCGGCTCAGCTGTGAGATCCTGATGCACAGCTCTCGTTTAAGTTGTCTCCCTTTTCTGTTTCCAAGGTGCACAATGATGAAAAACCCAACTCTTGACTGTTTTAAGGCACTAGCCAGGATAACTTTGAATATAAGCAGTTGGATGAGATTAACCTTTTTTGCTGATGGCTGTCTCTTTTTTCTTAAATATGTATTTATGAGAAGTTATTTAAAGGTTTTGGGTATGGAGAAAAGCCAGAGTGAGATGTGAGGGGACTAGGGGGATGATAGATGTGCTATGCAACACAGCCACGTGCCTTGCCAAACAGCTATTGCTGTGTGTGCTGGGTGTCTAGGCGTGCAGAACCAGCCAGGCAGAGTTCCCATTTTGCTCTGGATAAAACTGGGATGCCCTACATTTAACCCATACCTGGGATCTTCTGTTAACTCTTCTGTTAACTCCAGGTTATGGCATTCTATTTTTTTAAAAGCCATACTGAAACCTGTGCTATTCCTGCTGTTTTGTAGTATCTCTGTAGGATTTCTCTCTGCCTTTCCTTCTATGAGATTCAAGAGTCCCTTGCCCTACATATAAATATCTGTGTACCATTTGGTCCCAGCTAATCACTGATGGTAACTTTATTTGCATCTCTATGGTAAGTTCTGGCTCTTGAGTTTGCTGGAAGGACCCATGAATGTGCCATCTTGTTAAATCTGGTTTGTGTAGATGGGAACAAAGCTTGGGCTTGGAGATGAAAAATAAAACAACCCTGTCCTGTCTTCAGGGATGTAGCAAAAGACTGACCCACTAAGCCAACCTCTGTCAGGAAACTACTGCTCCTTCTGTTAGATGATAATTTTCATCCCAGTCCCCAAAAATGTAAAAGGAGAAATGGGTCATGGCAAGTGATCATGGGCAAGTTTTAAGACCAAAATAGAAGATGAACTCAAAACCCTACAAAGAAAATGTTTTTGTCTAATTGTTTTGCATTTCCATAATGCTTAGTAGGATAAAACAGTCTTCTCTTTCTCCTTTATTTTTCAATCATGATTAGGCTTTAATGTTGTTAAAGCTTATAAGTGAGTTTGAGGCACTGTCTTGTTGAAGAGAAGATGGAGCTGAAATTTTCAGTGAGGCATTGGACAGGGTTTTTAATGTGTCTGTCATTATATGTTAACCTCTGAACTGGGACACGACGTCTGTTTTATGGCTGACAACAATTTAAAAGTATACATCTTGACATGGTGGATAAAGGAAGAAGGGGGAGTGGAGAAGAAAAAAAGAATTAATGATGTTAGCAAATATTAGTCCCTGTATTTCCATTTTGCTCCGAAAGTGGTTGTCAGGCTTTGAGGCCGCCTGGAGCAGCATTGTCAGTGACAGGCAGCCGGGATGCGATTGTCCCTTGAATCGAGCCGGGCTTTTATTGACACACACACTGCTCCGAGGCAGGGACGGGGACGCTCTGCTGTCTGTTCCGGGATGAGTGCGGCTTTTCTCCTGGCATTCCTGGTGACATTTGAGAAGGATAGTTCTGGGCTTAGTGGAGTTCCCTGCGCTGGTCCGTGAGCACATCAGGAGTCAGGGGAGTTGAAAGTGTCTCTGAGTGAGTACAGATGCTGCATACAGAGGCACGGATCTGTCCGTGATTTATGCTGGCTCTGGTCAGCCAGACCCGCCCCCCAAAGTTAACTGTCAGGAGTAACAGTGACTTTGACATCAGCCTTAATTGTACACGAGCCACAAAGAATCAGCGGGCAAGAATTAGGGGAAAACGTGAGAAATTCCATGTACCATTCCATATACCTGTTTAAGGCATCTCTTACACTTCTTTATCATCTCCTCCTGAATCTTTTATGTGCCCCTGCCTGTGCTTTGGCACACAAGTGCAATCCTCCAAGGTTTCTTCATGTGCTGTCACAAATTCCTCTTTATTCCCACAATTTTTAACTGGCAGTTAAAGAGCAACCCCCTCACGCTTATGGAGCCCACAGCAATTTTGTCTTTGCTACAGCATCTCTCTTGCATGGTCTAACTGTGGATAATACTGCTGTCTGCTCTGTCGGATTCAACTTGGAAATTATGGGAGCCTGGGATCATGTTATTCCTTAACTATCATTAGTTACATGTGTATCTGCAGTGCTTCTGGGCAGCACTGCCAGCAGTGAGAGAAATGGAGCTGGCTTAATTGAGAGCCACATACTTAATTATTAGTGCCTTTTTAACGGAGGAGAGAGGAAATTTGCAGTGTCAGTTTTTAATTTCATTGTGGTATGCAGGGTAATGTGACTTCAAACTCACCAGTCATTGTCTGTGTATAGGTAGCATTGGGTTTATCTTCCCAGCCCTAAAAGCCCTTTTTTTTTGCTGTAGAAATGTTGGGAGATTTAAGAAGGAAAAGGGCATCTCTGTGTTACTGTTCCCTTCAACCAGAATGGGCAACGATTAAAAACACGGGTTGCTGTCAGTACAGTGACTGTGACGTGGTTTGGAAGGAGCAACTGCTGCTGTCCCACCTTTTGTGTCACTGAGTTTGCTCATCGTGCTTGGGTGTAGCAGAGATTTTGGAATGAGCTCGTGTATAGGCAGGTTGTCAAGGGCAGCTGGAAAGAAACAAGCTTTTATCTGCATGGCAGCACAATTAACATTTTTGGGAAGAAGTGTTCCTCGTAGCCTGGACAGATTCCCCTTGGGAAGAGCAGTGGGGATGAGTGGTGGAGCCATGATGGTTCATTCATGGCTTTGCAGAGTAGGTGCACACATTAAATCCTGGGAGAACAGCTGAATCTTTTCCTGGACATCCTTCATGAACTCATTCTAGATATCAAGGACCCTGATGGAGTAAGCTTGGTTCAACATTCATAAATTGCATATTGAGTTACCTGTTTCTGTGTGAGAGAGATGAGATAAAAGCTACTTGGACAAAGTAACTTATATATGGATTAAAAGCCAGAGAAGTTTTTGCCTGAGCAGTTTTGGTAAAGTCTTTGTCGCTGAGTTTCCCGATGACCTTATGTGTACTCAATCAGCGTGATTAATCTTTGGTAGAAATGCATTCGTTGTGCAAAGAAGGTGAACTTAATCCCAGAAACCTTTTTTTTTCCCCTAACAATTTCTCTAGAAAGATGAAATGTATTTTTTCAAATTTTTTTTCTGACTTGGGGAAAAAAAACACAACCAAAAACTGGAGTAGGAAGAGGTAAAAGAATATAGATTAAAAATTTTTTGCAATTTCTGATGCTGGTTGAATGCCCACCATCCCTCAGAATCAAACAGGGTAGTTGTGAGCATAGCATTAATGTATAGGAATAACTCTTGCATGCACTTGCAGATGATCTGAAATTAATTTTCTTTATTAGTGGTGTGGAAATAATTGATGGACAGTAAGGTTCTCTGCTAAATAATTTTTTAAGAGGGGCACTGCACTGTAAAGACTCTGAAGCCCTTTCTCTTCAGGAACTTCATGTCACCTTCTACTCTAAATTAGAAAAAGCCTAAATGCAATAGAATGGTTTTCAAAGCCAATTTCTTTTCCATTTTTTCTTTTAAACAAGTATGTATGTGATATCTGCAAACCCAAAGCAGTAAACGGATTTAAAACAAAAGCACCCTAGGGAGCAGGAAGAAAGATATATAAGCATGGGTTTTTTTGGAAAAAAACCCGCACCATATTTCTAGGTAGAATTCTGATGAGGCAATAACATTTTTTGGTATAATCAAGTTGATTAGAGGGATGGAGCACCTCTCCTGTAAGGAGAGAATTGGGGTTGTTCAGCCTGGACAAGAGAAGGCTTTGGGGTGACCTAATTGGGGCCTTCCAATACCTGAAGGGAGCCTACAAGAGAGAGGGAGAGAGACTATTTAAAAGAGCATGGAGTGACAGGACGAGGAGGAATGGCTTAAACTGAGATGTTTAGATTAGGTATTAGATATTAGGAAGAAATTCTTTAATGTGAGGGTGGGGAGGCCCTGGCACAGGTTGCCCAGAGAAGCTGTGGCTACTCTATCCCTGCAAGTGTTCAAGGCCAGGTTGGACGGGGCTTGGAGCAACCTGGGATAGTGGAAGGTGCCCCTGCCCATGGCAGGGGGTTGGAACACGGTCAGCTTTAAGGTCCTTTGCAACCCAAACCATTCCAGGATTCTGTGATTCTCTGATTCAGTGCATTGCAGCTACAGAAAGGTTACTAGAGGCTGCAACTTTGCTTCTGATTTTATTCACCATATCTGTGACGCTTTCTCGCCACAGAATGCCACAGAACTGTCCACTGACAACAGCAAGCTGCAATTAATGGGCTGGTTTTATAAGGAATTACTGCTGCAAATTGCAAACCAGTTTGGACTGCTTACCTGAAAACCAAACTACTAAATGTTGTAGAAGAGTTGGGGTTTCTGATGCCCTGCACCCCCTAATTGGGTCAGGCTTTCAGACAGCAGGCACTGAAAGTCTGGCATCAGTGTAAAGTCAGGCAATTGAAGAGCCCAAGCTGCAGGATGGTTTTTTGAAAAGGTAGGCCTGGGGCTCCATATCGATCAATCATTATTCTAATTGTTCATTTCTATTATGGTGGGAATCATTCAGAATCCTAGAGTTCCTGGGAGTAAATCATTTGGAAATGCTGCCCATTATAAAATTTAATTTTAAATCTATATTAAATAGATTTATAAAGGCAAGCTTTGCAATCTAGTAACAGAACATTATGCTGCCTCACAGAGGCTCGGCTTTGGGGTCCTAAGGGGCTGGGAATGCTGCGGAAGAAACGCTGTGGCTTGTGGTGAGTGGGATGGTGAGGCTGCCAAGCCTCTGGGCCACCTTCACAGGACCATTGATCCCATTTGCTGAGAGATCCATCCAGCTGTTCCAGAGGGAGTGGAGTCATGGGGCACTGTCTGCTGTGAAATGAGGCTTCCAGAGGGCAGGGAAAAGGGTGGGAAGTGGCGGAAAGTTGGGAATGGGGTGGGAGCCAGGATGCTGGACCAATCTTTCTTTTTCTTTCAGACAACAGAGAAGAGGGCAAAGGAAAGCAAAACTGTATTTGGAGGACCAGTCGTCAGCTCATTATATCAAGAAGAAACAATCAGGTGATTATCTATGCTGGAATTCGGTTAAAAACAGTATTTTTCTAATGTAATTTTGCTAAGCTTTTTTTTTTAATATTGCACAAGTGTGGTGGCAACTACAACAGGATAATAAATGACAGGAAAGAACTTTTCAGGTCCATAATCATTTAAATCAATATCTGCCTGTATCATTGCCAGGTAGTAACCTTTCCCTAGCACAAGATGTGGGGGAAGGACAAGGCTTCCCATTTTTCAGTTATATGGCTAAAAAAAGGTAATATTGGATATTTTTAATAGAAAGCTATTCAGACACTACCTTTTTCAAATAGTTATTTCTTTACCAATACATTCATTAGGGATTGTTCAGTGAAGGTTTTAGTGTTGGACAATGTTTGCCTTCAGGGAGAGTTTGTACCTTATATCAAATTAATTTTTTTTTCTGGCCTCTGCAGCTAGCAAAGCAGAAATGCATTTACTGAACTAGAGTGGCTGCTATTTAAAACTGTCAAGGTGCAAGTAGCAAGTGACATAACCTACTGAATAAGGACAGCTGGATGGTTTTGGTCTGGTTTGGTTTTTTACTGTTCCAGTCAAAGAATGAATTTTTGAGCAGTGTTTGCTGTCATGTTGCAGTCACCCATTTATGTGTATGTGACCCCAGTTTTTATTGAATGTCTTGCATCATTTCAGTCCCAGGACATTAAAAGTTAAACCCTAATTTCTCTATACATAGCCTCCCAAGCTTGATGAGAACTTTCCCAAAGGGTTAAAACTCAACACAGCATTTCTTTGACTTGTTGTCACAAACTAGTCTTGAGCAGGTGGTTCCAAACCCTTTGCAAGGAGCTCAGGTAGGAATTGATACAGCTGTTGTAAGCAAATAGGGTGGCATTTTTGTGCTTGGCAGTAACACAGGCATTTCCCTTGGGATTGCAATCCACTTTATAGTGAAGTGGAGCAGTTGGCCAGGAATAGCCTTCTTCCCTCGTATGGGGAGCCAACACATCTTTAACCTGCCCCTGGACCTTGACCAGAGGTGGTCAGATGTGACCTTGGTTTAACACAGTGTTTGAGGAATGGCACTTCTGGCAGCCACAAGCTCCTTTTTCTTCCATGCTCTGTCAGTGCAGGTCTCAGCCACCTCCTTGATCTCATAGTTTGACCTTATAGTTTAAATCCTGTTCCGGCTCTCCTTTTGGGAGTGGAATTTATCCCTGCAGTGCTGTCAGTGTTGACTATCCCAAATACTACGTATGTCCTTTCTTGAGTATGAAATACAGCACTCTAGTTGGCTTGACCAGCCTAAATCTTGCCAAGTGTTTGTTTTTATTTCCATGAGAACATGACTTGTGCAGGACTTGTAGATGAGTACAGTTCCAAATACTCTTTTTTTCCAAACATGCCATGAGGAATATATGTGCTGTGCGTTTAGCAAACCACAGCTGTGGTCCATACAAATGGTGGGAGAGGCATCTGCTGGAGGCAGATGTTGTTTCTGACACAATGAAGCATCCTGACTCTGCTGGCAGAGTGGAAACTCATGTGGTCCATTAGCACAGCTTGGCTTGCAGGCATCCGTGTCTTCCTTGCAAGACGGGAATGAGCAAGTATCACCACCATCTCACCCACACAGGGTTGTACAGCTTCAGATTTCTCAGTACTTCTATCTACAGTTCATTCCCTTGCTGGAACAGGAAGGAACGTGTGGAAGTATAGGCACATCCCTGAAGTGATAATTATAATAAGAAAAGCATAGCCCTAAACAAAATTGCCCTGATACCAAACCTGCAAGCTCTAGACATTCAGCTTGGTGTCCAAATTTGTCTAGAGCATGAATTGGTTTGATAGTTGTAGCACTCATCTGAGGAGGGTGACTTTTGTGAGCCTGTGAGCAGTTACTTACAAGAACATAAGGTTAGCATTCAGTAATACTTCATAAAACAGAATGTAGTCTTAAAAAACAAGGCATTTTCTGTAGAGGAAAAACATGCAAATGTTTAAAGAGAAATAAAACTGAATAGCTTGAGCCAGCATAAACTTTAACACTTTGATTATTACAGGTAAGTCCTGTGCTGTAAGTTCAATGTGTACTTTTGTGCTGCCTCAAAACCTACTACTTGAGAAAAGAGACTTTGATGCAGATTGTTTATTGACTTCGTTTTCTATGGTGGGTTGACTGAAGTTTTACAACAAGCTTGCAAAAACTGGGATATAAATCAAACCACTTTGGTCTCTGTTTCCCAGGGCTGTTGATAGGATAAATATTTTCTTGTTACAGGATCATATTGAGGAAGATCAGAATAAGCAAAAAAACCCCTTTTTTGTGTACTAAAAAGTAAAACTTGAGTCCTCATCAGCCCTGAGCTCTGACAGACTGCTGAAAGCAATTTCTCAGCAGGCATTACTCTGCCAAACACAGCCTACCATATGCCCTTTAGGATTCTGCTGATGCAAAGGCAGGAAAAGGCTGCTAATTTATCTGGAGCATCGTCACAACCTCACCTTGCACCAGGAGATAGACAAGGATGCAAGTGCAGAGTTTTGCAGGTTCACCTAAGCAGGATCACTTGTTTTATTCTTGCCAGGAGCTTTTGAGCAGTTCATCAAAAAGTTAACATCCTCCAAGCTGCTACTGTGTAATAAATAGGAAGAGGGTTTTGTTTAAATAGAACAAACCACCAGTTTGCCATCAGCAGTAGTTACCAACAAAGCAGCAGTGCCATTGCTTTCGAACTGTGTGTCTAAAATTATGCATAAATAATGCTTACCTTCCTCTTGTGGAATGAAATGCTTGGATTTTAGGATGCAGAGCTATAAACGCTGGACAAAGTGGAGTTACCATACCCTGCCCGAAAGTGGATCAGCGGTAGGAGGAACTCAGTGCCAGGCCTGATTTTTGCCTTATCACTAATTATCTCAAATGTTTCTAATTGAGAACGAGATAGAAAAGTGGTCAGTCTGGCTCACAGAAGTACATTGCACTGATTCCAAATAAATTCAAGAGCATCCATAGAAACAGGTTACACCGATCTAATTAAATCAATTTAGAAAGAGATTCGGTTAAATCAGTGCAATTTGTGTGTTCATAGATCAATCCTCAAATCAGGAGAAGGTCTCTTGAGCTAATGAGGCATAGCAGTTATTTACTTTGGGGTGCTGGGCACTGGTCATCAATTAGGAGTCATTAATAAACCCTGGCAATAAAGAGCTTGAGTACCCCCAGTGAGTAATGGGGAGCAGTTGCAGGATGTATTAGCATAGTGCTCTGCCTCTGGGCTTCTCTGCAAATCACTTATCTCCCCTCGGGCATTACACAAAAACCCTGTGTGCTGGTGACTGATGATGGGACTTGGAGGTTCCCTCTGGAAGGAAAGATTTAGAAATTATCTGTGATTTCAGGCTGCGTATAGTGGTGGTTTGTTTCTTTCTTTTTTTTTCTTCACTGCTACATAAAGCTTTATGTCTCTTTTCTGGTGCTATTACCAGAACAAAGCCATTGTAGTGGAGCTCTTTCATGATCAAATCACTATAATTAGAGTTTCACAAACGTGGGAAATGAGCAGAGAGCTGAAGTTGACTGATGTGTTACCAGTATAAATCTCAAACTGAAAGAGATGCCAAAAATACCGTAGCCTTGGAAATTCAGCTTTGAAGTTATTTTTCAGTATTTTTTTTTAAAGCCAGAGGAAGGAGAAGCAGTTTATAGGTGTTTTCAGCAAACGAAAGCATTGACTTGGCAGGTGAAGAATGAGAAATAATTTTGCCAAATGTCCATGTCCCTTTGTACTGCCACTGGAGGAGCCCTCCTGCACTCTGCCATGAGCTGCTTCCATGCAGTCTTGGCATGCTGGCATGGGAATGACATCTACCAGTCGGCAGAGAGGCCTTCCTGAGCTATACTTTACTCTTCTGCCATCCAGAGGGGTGCTGAAGAAACCTTTTCTGGTAGAAACTTCCACCCTTCCCCCTAACACTTGGGAGCAACCCCAGTCAGGAGTGGGGCTCCGTTTAGGATCGGGATGCGGGGCGGGCACCCCTCGGGTTTGGGACCTGCCTGATGCCGTGTAATCTATCAGAATTGTATTAATCCCACTAACGCAGCCGCCATCTGGCCCCGCTGCCGGGCCGGCTCGCACGAGCCCCGGTGATGGATGGCCCTGGGAATTGATTAGTTGTTGTGCGAGACAAATGAACTGTTTTGGCAGAAAATACCAGAGGTCGCTGCATGTGGTCAGGCACAAAGGCTGCTGAATTTTAAAGAGCTGCTTCCAGCATCCATTGCAAGGATGGTGCTTCGGAACAGTTTTGAGACGAGCCCAGTGCTCCGGAGCGCGGTTGGGGTTTTGTTGTCTCCCTCCAGGCTCTCTTTCGGGAACGCAGGCACTGGCAGGGATGTGGGAGCTGGCATCCCTGCCGTGTTGGGAATTACGGGCTCATGGTGGTATTGTGTGGGTGGCTGGCTGTGCCACAGATGTCTGCTGCTCTGGTAAATTCCGGGCTGTGCAATCCCTGTGGAAGAGCTTTCCTGGTTGTGCGGAGCCCAGGCAGCCTGGCGTGCTCAGCCGTGGTGCCTCACACAAAACACCTGCGGGTACAGGCAGCTGGGGTTTGGGTTTTTTTCAGGTCAGTGTTATTTAGAAGTGGATGCTCTCCTGGTGATGTTCAGCAGGCAAATCTCTTGGCTTCAAGATGATTGCCAAGTTTATTGCTCCCTCCCTTTTTGTTGTCCCCGGAGCGGTGACCCTTGGGGCTTTTGCTTTGTTGTGCAAAGGGGGCCTGGGCTCAGGCCTGCCTTCTCTTTGGGAGAGCTCATCCTTCAGTGGAGGCTCCTATTTGGGGTTTTCACGGCCACCTCCTCTCCGGTGCTGCCACTGATGTGCCGAAGTGTGCGCGGCGGGTGGGGAATTGGATGACACATGTCTCGCTATGTCCCGGCGGCTCTCGGAGGACGGCACACAAGTGTGCCGGCAAGTGGGCAACCCTTCCCTCGGGACGGCCTGCCGGCTCAAAATAAACTTGAGTTATGGATTTATTCAGCTTGTAAAACCTCAGCTGGCATAAATAATTGAGAAAGCAAAGGTTTGTCTGTGGTGCGTACCTCAGGGACCCGCTCCTGCCTTCCTCCCTCCCACCACCCTTTCTTATGAAAATGATCCCAGTTGCACTGATAGATAATAACAACACCAAGCAATTAAAAGCTATGGGTGGCTGGAGAGAGGAGAAAAGGTTCAGTTAATGAGCTTTTCCTCTTCCTGTGCCCAGGAGAGCCTCAGAAGTGACGAGGCGATTAAAGCGAAGAGATAATTATAGATTATGTGAAAATGGGTCCCTTGGGGGCCGAGGGCCTTGACATAAACAGTGAGTGTTGCGAGTGTCTCTGGGCTCCCCGCACGCGTCCTGCCCCGCTCCGCCGCGCTCCCGCTCTCCCGGCAGCGCCGTGCCAACCAGACGGGCAAAGCCACCTGTTAGCGGCGAGTCCACTGGGACACGGCTTGGACCAGCCCCGGGAAAAGGGGCGAGGACGCCCCAAGTAGACCCTGATCTCAGCCCTCTGCCCTGAGCTTTGCGCTAGAGGTAACCTGCGAGGGGGGAGGAAGGGCACGGGGCAAACCTGGAGGATGTTCTCTGCGCGAGGGTAAAATGTCTGAATGTCAAGTCTCTTCTGTGCCCTTGAAGTGGCAACCTTGGTGGCAAGGAGGTTTGTAACACTCCAGGTAAGAAGGAGCTGAAGCCTGATCAACCAGCAGCAGATCTTTTCCACGAGCTGTTTAAAAACTGTTGGCTCAATATGTGTGTTTTGAACGGCTTATGGAGAAGGCTTGCAAAGCCTTTCAAGCTTGGGGAAAGATGGGCTTGGTGTAAGTTCTTCCACATCCTTTTATTCAAGGATGGAAAAAACTGCCCATGTGTTACTTGCAGGCAACAGGTACGCTTCAACTCATTGTTAAATCAGAATTAGCATCTCTTACTGGGGATGGGGGAGAGCAGGAGAAAACAGCTTTGGGGGCTAAACATGTGTCAGCAAGGGAGAAGAGAAACCCTCTGACCATCCTCAGGAAATAGATGTGAACACAGTCACTGCCTTTACTGACTGTCAAGTGGTCACTGACTTGAAGGCTCCTTTCTGGCTCAACAATCTGACATGGAAAGAAAATTGCATCCAAGCCTTCCTTTTAGCTGCAGGTTTTAAATAATTGTGCACATCTCCATTAGGTTGAGTTTCGTGGTCTTTCCCATCCATTCAGATATGCTGAATACTCTGTTTTTTACGTGAATTGAGATTTTTCTGAAAATACTGATGGAAATGCTATGGGTTGTTTCCCTCAAAACATTATCTGAGCAATGTTTTTGCACTGTCACTTACTTCTGTATTTCCTACGTGCTTCTGTCTGGTTTTATGCTGTTTTTACCAGTTTCTGAGCCTTCCTGTCAACTCTTACCAGTTTTGTGAGGAGTGCAAATTCCTGCTGGGAACAGGTCTGATAAAAACATTACGTCCTTTTTGTTTTCTTGTACCTACTACAGTGGAGGGATTATTAAGTATGAACACATACACACATGTGAAATAAAGGGCGGGAAAAAACTGAGTTGCCAAGTTTTCAAGCTCTGTTTCTTATTTGTCCCGTATGGTTTTGAATGCAAAGTCAGCAAATAATAGTAACTTGTCTTTATTCCAATCACACCATTCAAGGGGAATGTTTTTGCTAGTATTGGTCCCTCCAGAAATCTGGTTTTAACTCCTCTGAGCCCTTTTCTCAGTGTCCCCTCCTGGTTTTGGCATGTGTCTAGATCAGATAGTTTTAAATGTCTGGAGTGTAGCTTCATGTGACTGTTTTATTTGTAGGTAAAATGTCTTCGTTGTGACTGTGTGAACTTCCCTCAAATGTATTCAGGAAAGGACTTGTTTCTCTTTGTTAATATTTATAGAAAAGTTGGATATGATATATGTTCAATTTTTTGAAAGAGGGCATCAGGAGCAGGGGAGCAGTTTAAAGCTTGAGAAATAAATGTGGAGTAGAAGGACGAAATTTCCCGAAACCTTATCTTCAGGTGGGGAAATTGGTATTCTGGATTAATTCCATTGTGGAGACTTCTGAAAGAAAAGTGGTTTTTTGGAAGGGGGATATATAGAGCATTTGCAGAGTTGGTTATTCCAGAAAGCTAAATCATATCCAAATAGCTGTGTCAGGTCATTTTCCCCTTGCAGACAATAATATCCTTGGAAAAAGACTGTAAAAGTCCTGTCTGGAGGCTGTGGTGGAAAGATGGGCTGGGTTTGGTACATCAGGGTTGCAGTGCCCTCTCTGCTGGCACAGGCCCTGCACACACTCCCCCTGGAGCACAGTCAGGTGCTTTATTGCTGCCAGGTACTTGCTGGTGCCTCTGGTGCTGCTGTGTGAGGTCTGTCAGGGCACTGTAGCTTGTGGGATGGAGGGTACAGCCCAAGCTCATGGTTGTGACATGGAAAATCACCCAGGAATAACTGAGGACTGTTGGGGGCTTCTCTAGCAAGGAGACACTGGGGTTTGCTTTGGTGTTATGGAAAAAAGAGTGATCTGTAATAAACGAGGGGTGTGCGACTGTGCAGTGGGGAGCCAAGTTACTGTACAGCGTTGTCTGAAAAGCAGCTTCTCCCAAAAGGCTGCTGTCAGCAGCCGAGGGTGTGTTGGAGAGGTTGGACTAACAAGGTAGGACTGGAGGGACTTCCCAGCATATCAAATCAGCCCTTGTTAGTAGGGGCAGGCATGTCTCGTGACCTCCATCATGAGTCTGTCAAGCTCCATCTCCAGCAATACAAGCTTTTGCCTTTTCTAATCCCACCATGAGGTTCTTTTTTCCCTGGAATTCAAGGTAATTGCATCTAAAGCATGCAGTGACCTGTTTCCCAGGAGCTTGTGTGTAGTGAGTGGGCAAGACCTCCACCAACAAATGAGTTCATGACAGACTGGTTAAGAAACCAGGGGACTTCTGTAGTGTCCCTAGGCCTGAACACAGAGTGTGAAATCTTGTGTGGCTCCCAGCTCTTCACTAGAAAGGTGCAGCTCAGTGGTCTGCAAGGAAAAATAGGGGTGGTGTGTTGGAGAACAGTGCTACTAAGAGAGCAAGGTGAGAGGGAGGTCAGAGGAAGTGACTTCTTTGGAGAAAGCAGTGATCTGCTGCTGGAGATGAGTGTCAGCACTTTTTCCCACCTTTTTCTGGCACCGAGGAAGGAAGGTCTGAGGAATTAGAGTGTAACTCAGTAGGCTAGATGCATAACAATCAAAGTCAAAGCCATGTCATGGAGCTCTGCCTGCCCTGATGGGAGCAGGGGACATGGTCTTGGTGGCGTTGGTATTTTCTTTGTCTTTTTTTGGGGATTGCAGGTAAAAGAGCAACCCTTTTGTTTGTAATCCATTGCTCAGAAATGCAAATGTTATTTAGATTTTACCTTCCCTTCTCCTGACATTATTCAGCCTGTGAGGTTCAAGAGCAGTGCAGATGAATAGGAGGAGTGTTGCCTTTTAGCACCAGTGCATCAATTCTCAAACTGCACTGTTGGATTTCTCCTGCCCAAAAGGCCCACGGCAGAATGACCTCCTTACTGGATCTGACCAGCTCCAGCAACCTCCCATTTTTACAAGTAGCTGAGGCTGTCAGTCTGAGTTCTGCTGAACATCCAGATGGTCTTAAGTTAAGGTGATTGAAAACTGGGGATGTCATGTGAGGCAGCGACTTTGTGTTTAACTCTCATGAAGCTGCCAAGTCTCTTAGCAACACTGATGGGTTCATTTGAACCACAGTTTTCATCTGGAAACTAGAAAGAGAGGGGAGTGTGTGGGCTTTTGGCTTATTTTGGTAAAACCAGTGACCTCTTTTCTTTATTCTCTGTTAGCAACACAGTGGGATCAGTGTATTTAAACCTAAAGGTATTATTCTTTTAAGAATCTGGGAAAGGTCTTAACTTCATTGGAGGTTCTGTTTGTTTGGCTGGTAAAGAGGGAAGCTTTAGTGTGTCTGAAGCCAGGGTATTGCTTTTATCTCTAGGAGAAGCTATAGGTGTGACTCAGGCTCTCGTGACACCACAATTGGATCTTCCTGCCTGCAAGCAGTCCTAAGTGAGCACCTGCTGGTGTTGTATCCAGGATCCAGTGTGTAATCAGCCAGGGACAGATTGCTTTGCGTGTGTCCTGCTTGTTCTGCTGTTTTGTCCAGGCCACTGTCTGAGATGGATGGCATCAGACGGGGCTTTTGTGGGACCCAGGCGGGGCTTCTGTGGCTCTTACAGGAAGAGCAGCTTTAGCCCTTTCTCTTCTGTGGGGTTGCAGTGATTTATACCAGAACTCAAACATGGATTTTTCTGGCTAACTTCATACATTTCTTGTGCCATTTCACAGGAGTAAGCTGACTTTTCTCCGGACATAATACTGCTAAAAACCTTTGTTTTTCTAGGAAGCAGGATCTTCTGTCTCCTAACTTGGGAGAAAAAAACCACATTATTTTGCGCGTGCAGTACTAGGTGCCTGTTTCAGTCCAGTGACAGCATTGAAATGTCATTGAAATGAACATGTGATGTGTATGTGGCCTTTGTGTTGTGCAGTAACACCGTGCTTCTTTGCTTTTGTTTCCTGAATAGGGAAGAGGACAAGAACATTTTTGATTACTGCAGAGAAAACAACATTGACTATGTAACCAAAGCCATTCAATCAAAAAAAGTGGATGTGAACGTCACAGATGAGGAGGTATGGAGAAAAAGGAACCATTAATCTTTTAACTGTGTTGTGTATTAATTCAGTGCTACTTCTTTTTAAAATTCCCTAGTTGGGTTTGTTATAACAAGGTACTGTAACAGTTGGACAAACGCTTGGTCATTGAGACAGGGATAATCTATTGGAAAACAGCTTTCCACTGGATTTCTAGTAGTGTGTGGATGTAGTAACTGTGATGCTTTAACATATCAGACACTTATTTTCTATGTTATTTTCAGCAGCCACTTGCAGAATAAGATCTCCTGAATACTTCCCTTTCCCCACTTTGTATATTAAATATGGTCAAACAGAGTTAGGAAGTGAGGGAAATGGATTTTTTTGGCTGATGACCTCTGTTCAGGCTTGAAGTAGGATTTCTGTCATGCCACCAGCTTTTCGTCATTCCCAGGTGCAGGGCAAATGAGTGACACTGGCTTTCCAGCTTCACAAAAATAATGACATCATCAAGTCTTTCTCTCCTCACCAATCTCAAAAAAACATTTTTCCACAGGGAGATAATACAGGTGTTACCAGAAACTCCCAAGAAAAAGCTGTGTCTAAAGTTGTGGATTGGCTTGATCTTTTCTTGGTAAGAGCAACTGTCCCGGTGTGGACAGTTTCATGTTAATCCTTCGGGAACTGTGGCTGTACCAGGTTTGTCACCTTGGTTTCTGTGCATGCACACTGCCACCTATCCCTGCTCCTGGTCCAGCCTGTGCACAGCTCTTTTTGCCCACTGCCTTCCAGCACGTTGTGTTGTGGTGAACAGATGAAGTGCTTAGACATTCATAGACTGAGACGCCACAAATTCAGTTGGGTTCTCCTGTAGCTCTAAGCAGATTTCTGCCCTCTGAGCCATGACAGCCCCGGCTGGGGCTCTGAATGCTGATGGCAGGGCCTTTTATTATTAATCAGGAATTCATGTGAATTAATTTTCAGAGGAGAGGAGGGAGGGTGTTCACGATCAGGGTTGGAATTTCACATCATAAATTCAATGAACTGAAACTGTCGTGTGCCACACAGTCGCTGCTACAGCGCCGGTCCTGAGCTCCATCCCTCCTCCTGCTGATCACAGGCTACAGAAGGGAATGTCCAGGGCAGTCCCACAGAATACAGCTGCAGTCCTTTCATTAAAAAAGAGCTCATTTTTGGGATCACACGCTTGCAATAAGTGTATAATAATGTCGTGTTAACATTGCTTTGTTCCCACTGGCAAGGTGCTCTTTTGTAGTGAGCAACATTCAGAAGCTGGTACCTTCCTTGCTGTTCAAGCAACAAATGGGCTTGTTTTCAGCCAAAGAAAGTTTGATTTTTTTTAAAAAAAATATTTTGTGAAAGATAGCTGAAATATCTAAACTACATAAATGTTTTAAGCCGGATCTGAAAACTGCCAGGTGACACATCCTTCTTGGGACCTATCCATGAGTCCTGATGTAAGAGAAGTCCTATTTCTAATGGATAATCCTATTGCTAATGGATATTAGCACATGACTATTGCAGAGTTGGGAATTGCTTCAGAAGAGGCAGGAGCCAAAAGCACCTGCCTACTGGTGAAGGGCTTGTGGGACGTGACACTAGTGCAGAATTCCCCCATAGATGAAATTCTCACAGCTTCAACAATTTTGGTTTACCCCAGCAAATGTGCAAATAGCATACCAGAAACAAAAATCTGAAAGAAATACTTATTTCCTGATATGTTAAGGAGCTGAAACCATTACCAGTGTTGTTTGGTATCCAAACATGTTCTTCCCAGTCTGGAGGGTAGCTTATTTTCCAATATCATGCAGGTTGATTGAAGTTTTAGAACCCCTTTTAGACTAGAGGTATCCCAGACCGAGCCTTTCGTAGCGTGAAGTGTGTGCAAGCATAATCTTGTCATTTTTATTAAGTATTTTAGTGTTACTGTGTAAATACATCCTGCTGTATCTAAAAGCTGCCTCACCTGGCCTCTGAACATAACTCACGATGTCAATCCTTTGATTTAAATACCTATAAATTTAAAATGGCAAAGGGATACATACAAAGAGTTAACTTGTAATGAAACAAAATCTACTGAAGCACCAGATAGGCTCGTGCTAAGCTGCAAAGACGCTCGGCTCAGCCTTGCCTTGAACAATAAAGACCTGGCTGAGGTTGTAGGGTGTTTAGATTTTATTTTTATGTGATATGTTAGTACTGCATCTACTAGTACCCCCCCATTTTGTGCAAACCTGAAATAAGTCAGCGAAAGGAGAAAAGAAATCAAGAATTAAAATGTAAAGTGGGGATGAGCCAACTTACTCGAAGCAAAAGGATTTCAGAAAGGGATTTAGAGAGATGCACTTGGAAACTTCCAAAGCATCATGGTCTTCTCCCCACAAGACATAAAGCTCTTCATGTACAGCGTTCAGGCCAGCATACCTGCTAACAGTTTGGATATAATAAACTTCAATTTGGAATTAAACAAAGAATCTAATGACAGTAATCAGGTACGAGCTTCCATTTACTGTATCTAAATTGCCCAGAGTTCAACAGAATAGCTTGCATTCACTTATAAGAAGTAGCACAGACTAAAGCAACCTGTTTCCCTCGCATATGTCAGCAGGACTAATGGCATAAGAAATGTCCTGTGGCTGTGAAGTCGCCCCAGGCACATCCTGGGAGTGTGGCTCACTTGCTGCCCTTTTGAGAACAGTATTTCTTCAACTTCTAACAAACCAGGAGCTGCTCAAAGGCAGAGATGAATTGCTCTTGTAAATTGTGCCAAGGGCTGTGGAGGTTGTAGCTAGATAATTTTTTTTTAATTGTTGGATAAATCCCAGTAAACAAACATGTTACCTGTGTGCAGTGTTTTAAGTCCTTGCCAAAACTTTAATGAGAGGCATCTGACAAGTTGCTCGCTTAGTCCCCAGTCCCCGTGCTTTTGAGACAGCAAGTGCCAAATTGGTGCCAGCTTGCCAAGGAAAGGACAGGGGAAAAAATGAATTTGAAGAAGGATCACATACTTCTGGATTTACAGGCTTGCTCCCATTAGAAAAACTTCACCAGACGTTTGAGAGCTCTGAAAGGGATTCACTTCCAAATCAAGTTTACCTGTATAATTGCAACAACAGCCCTTCCATTCACTGTTTCTGCTGTCACAGAGGGATGCAGTCATTCTATCTAGATAGATATCTATCTCTTCTTAATTACTGCTAATAAAACACTTGCCACAAGTTAGAGTGGCTCACTGCTATACAGCCATTAGCGCTGCAAACATCGTGCCTAGAAGTGTAGCTTAATATTGTAGCACATCCATTCGGTTTGGCTTTGTTCTCCCCTTTCTGTGCTCCGGCTAATTGATGTGAAAATCATTCCCATCCATTTGTCTGCCGAGGCTCGGTATATCGGAGACAAATCCCTGTCCTGTGCTTTGTTTGTGAACACCCTGTGACTTGGAGCTGAGCAAAATTGATGTGCTGTTGGCTTGAGAAGCTGCTGCAGAAGCTGGCCAAGCTGGCAGCGGTTAGCCAGGCAAAGCACAGAAGATTTAAGAGGCAGGGTTAGTGCAGTGGGGCTATTTTTATGCTTTTTTTTTATTAAATACTTCAAAGGCTGGGGAAAATGCATCCTCTCAAGTAACTTCTGCAACAACTGTCATGTTTGAATTGCAGGGAGGGAGTACCTTGGTGTTTGATTGCGTCTAGTCGAGACCTCACTGCTGCAGTTCTTCCCTACGTGAAATTATTCGTGTTGCTCTGAGTCTCTGACTGCTTAATGAAACAGCCATGTGGGAATTGTTTTGGGAAAGCTCAATCTGTGGCTCTTAAGATTTCTGCCATGTTATTTAAACGCACAAACACATGTTATGTGCTGATCCAAAGCAGCAGCTGTGTGGACTAAAGAATTTTGCAGCATTCAGAGGTGATATCCATGCTATACAAAAGGCTGGACTGTAAATTCAGTTTAAGTTTGTCTTATCCCTAAGGCTTATTTTAAGGAAGACATGAGAAACAAATAGACTTTGTAGCTGTATAGCTGCCTAAGTACGTTAGCTAGAACTGTTGATTGTTGTTAATTTGCCTGATGCTATGCAAACAGTAGTGAATATTACCTAGTTTTCATAGAATCATTAAGGTTGAAGAAGACCTCTGAGATCATAGAGTCCAACTGTTTTAAATACAAATGCTTTTTGTTATGTAGTAAGTAGGTTGAGATTCTTCTGCAGGTGTCTTTACTCCCTCATCTCATGGTGTGCTCTTGCACAGGAGGTCTCCAAAGTCCCTGACACCCTGTGTCGAGGGCGTGGCTGCAAGGATGCAGACATTTCTTGGGTGGAACATGTCAGCTGTTTAATAGTGCACAATTACAATGCAGAGCCATTTAAGGCACTAATTAGAAAATACTGTATCCATTTAGAATTGCAGAGAAAATATATAGGTAAGCAGAGTGTAATTACCCAAAGTGGAATTGGCCCAAGGCTTGAAATCCATACTCCTGCAAATAGCACAAGGAGATTTTTAATGACTGTAGATGATCAGGCTTCAGGTTTTTGTCTTGTTCAAAAGGCAACGTGTGCAGCAGAACCAGCCTTCCAGTGTCATGGGCAAGACCAGCTGCACAGTGCTGTGGTACCCCTGAGCTGTCAGAATTAACTGTTGGTTTTCCTTTATTGGTCTCAGCCAAGTTCAGCACCAATACAATGAGATTCTGCTTGTCCAGAGACAACCAACATATTATAGCCACTAACCTGTAACGTTAATTTTGATTAAAAATATAGAGATGCCTTTATTATGTCATGTAGTTGCACAGTAATTACACTTGTGTAATTACTGTATGTGTAATTATGGTATTATTCCTCTACACATATATAAAGAAACTGAAATCATCTGTCAAAGTATTTATTGCTATTATGCCTATTGCAGACAGTGCTTCTTTCTTTCGACATAAACATCTGTAGCACAAAAAAGGTGGTATTTGTCCAACTGAAATCATAAGTCTTAAGTAATTACCAGTCCAGAGATGAGTTAAGGATGCTAAACATGAATTAAGGATCTTTCCGTGTTTACCAATTGTTTTAAATTGTACTCTTTCCCCCTTGTAGACTTCAATAGTGGCATTGAGTGCAAGAACATTAATCATTAAATGGCCCATGGATGTCATCAGTGCTTCCATAGAAAGTCACTGTCAGAAAATTCATTGTAATTCAAGATTAATTAGTGTAACATTAAAATTATGTGTTACAAAAATTAATTACTTGCTGGGTCAAAACGTGTGCATTTCCTGACTCAAAATCATGTTCTACCTCTGCTGCCCTGCCCAAGAACATCCAGCAGAAGCAGTGTGAGTTTTGGTCACAGGTGTCTTCTGCCCCTCCTGCTTTCTGGCACCGTGGTCAGGAGATTTGGCTCACAGTCCCCATTAGCAGATAAATGAGTTGCTCACCTTGTTCCTCACTGCTCTGTCAAGAGATTTATAACCAGGCGTGGGCTAATTTAACTGATTTCATCTGTGAGGGTCTGTGACTGTTTTCTGTGGCCTACTGGAAAACAATTCAGTCTGATGGTGTCACAACCTGTGGGATGTGATTCCTGGTTATGTGCAGGGTGATTTCCAAGTTTTCCCCTGCAAACCAGGAGAGGCTGATGGGAACAGTAAGTCTAATTTACCACATGTGCATAGTAAACAAAGAAGAAAATCTATCTCAAACTACTTTGATCTCCCTTTCTCAGGGATGCTAAGCTTCTTCCCATATCTTTAGCAGGCAGGGTGATCTGAACTTCCATTGTATCCCTTCCCATGATGGCAGACAACTGTAGAAAGGGGATGGGAAGAAAACTGCAAAGGTCTGGGAGGGGCTGGAGGCATGGATGCAGCAGCCCACGTTGCAGAGCTGAGAGGGGACAATTGTGGGTGATGCCTGCCCACATGCCTAGTTTTAATCTTCTCTTGCAGCAAAGACAGGACCTGTGGGTTAAGTGCTTTGGACCTGCCAGAGGAATGAGCTTTTGGGGACTTGGCATCCAGGTGACTTAGGCAGCATTGAAAATCCTACCCTTATTGTGTAAGTCATTGCTCCCAGAAAAGTCAGAGGTGCCAAAATCCCAAATCTATACAGGAAAAAAAATCATGTCATGGCTCCTGCATTTCATGCTTTCCTGCCTTTCCCCTCTAAGTTTTTTGCTGGCTTGTGGGCTTAGGGCTAAATTAATGAAAAATTGAACTGTGTGTCACTTTTCACTTTTCTAGCATTAGTTTTAAGTTCAAATCACAAGGAATAATAAGCTGCATACTAATATTATTTTTTTTCCTTTTTCTTTTAACTCTGTGTTAATTTGGTTATCGGTGCTCAATACTTATTAGCAAAACCGATTCTCCGTGGGTTTTTTTTGCCTGGCTTTGTTAATTTTTCTCCTGGATGTTGCAGGGCCGGGCTCTGCTCCACTGGGCGTGTGACAGAGGACACAAGGAGCTGGTTTCAGCACTGTTACAGCACGCTGCTGACGTCAACATCCAGGTAAGAAAGGAATACAAAGCTGAATTTGATGGATGTGTTACAGAGCCTCCTGACCAAATGTTTCGCATGAAACTGAATTCTTCCAAAACTCCACAGCGAGTTTTCTCAGGGTACTTATCACAGAAAAGATGCTCAGCTCTGGTGAGACCCCACCTGCAGTGCTGCCTCCAGCTCTGGGTCCAGTTGAAGCCAGTCCAGGGGAGGCCACCAAGATGATCACAGGGATGGAGCACCTCTGCTATGAGGAAAGGCTGAGAGAGTTGGGATTGCTCAGCCTGGAGTAGAGAAGGCTTTGGAGCGACCTAATTGGGGCCTTCCAGTCAGTATCTGAAGGGAGCCTGCAAGAAGGGTGGAGAGGGACTTATTTACAAGAGCCTGGAGTGACAGGACAAGGGGGAATGACTTCACACTGACAGAGAGTAGAGTTGGATTAGATATCAGGAAAAAATTCCTCCCTGTGAGGGTGGGGAGGCCCTGGCACAGGTTGCCCAGAGAAGCTGTGGCTGCCCCATCCCTGGAAGTGTTCAAGGCCAGGTTGGACAGGGCTTGGAGCAACCTGGGATAGTGGAAGGTGTCCCTACTCATGGCAGGGGTGTTGGAATGAGAGATCTTTAATGTCCTTTCCAACCCAAACTATTCTATAATTCTATTATAAGAACATCCAAAAAGTTAGCCTGGGAAAAGTACAGAATTTTTAGCCACCACAATTTGCCCCCACGTGTCTGAGCTTAGCTAGGAGCAGTTTTAGGGTACCTAAATAGCCCAGATTTTGTCCTACACTGGTTCAGCAACTGCTTTGCAAGCGGTTCCTTCCAGCCAGCCAGCTTGGGTCTGCCTGTGCCCATGAGTCAGTGCTCCCAGTTTTGTCAGCTTGGTGCAATTAAGGGCTGACTTGTGTAGATTTGGTTGTGTTCGGAAATAATTGTCTAATGTATTTCTGTGAAGTTATGATTGACTGCTCTTTACCTGCTTGGCTCTTATTGGCTCTGCTCTCCTGCCCACAAATAGCGGTGTTGGTACTTAGACACACATGAAATTGTTGTAAAAAAAGGTCTGTTTTGCCCTTTCCTGGGCAGAATTGGTGCTGGGATGGTATGAGGAAGGACAGCTCTTTAGCAGCTGGTGACAAACATATGTTCGTGCTTAGATCTCCGGGGTTTTGGTTTTAATGGATTTTATAGGAGTTTTTCCTTGCATAGAAGAGGGGCAGTGAAGCCAGTACGAAGGGGGGCTTTGCATACTCTGTCTCTCACTCTTCAGTCAGATCTAGTGAGTGATGTGTTGGATACATTCAGCTTTACACTGAAACTGCAGGGAAGTTGGATCAGCCTGTTCCCTCACCCTGGCATCCTGGAGATGCTTTTGGGTTCTGTCTGAAACATCTCTTCTCTTTGACACCTGTCTCATTCCTTTGGAGGTAAAGTCTGACTCTTAGAAGAAAAGGCAGAAGGGAGCATCATCATAATTTTTTTCCCTGAGCATTCATTTTTCTCTTAAATTCTTCTCTTTTTTCTTTTTGATGCATTGCACATATTCTAACCAGAATATTTTTGGCCAGTAACAAAAGGTTAATAATAGCCATAAAAAGAAAATCAATCTTTGATATTTTTTTCCCCCACCGAGGTAATAAAGGAGAATTTTTTATAAAGGTCTCTGTTTGCAAGTGGGTGTGTTCCCAGAGAAACCAGACACGTTTTTATTCTCAGCCATATATAAATTGCAATAACATTTCAAGACTTTGTGACTTAATGTTTATTTCTTGGGTTTTTTTATTATTTTTATTTTAACCTTTACCCTGTAAGAATTCACATCCAAAGCAGGAGCAGGAGGAATTTTAAGATCAACCAGAAGAAAAAAGGAGAGGGAGAAACTCTGGCTTCCTAACAGGCCATAAACACTGCAGCACCTGCTATTACACATTACCAAATCAGTTAATGTGTAGGCTGTAAAGAACAGTGGGTTAAGTGTGAGGGAATCTCTGGTGACTCGAATCTGTTATTTCAGAGCAATGCGCTCTCAGCAGAGGTTCCCTTCACACCTCTGTCCCAGCAACATCCACAATTCCCATCCACCCCTCCAGGTCTTTGGGTGTCCTTCTGTCTTGTTCGGTTTTGCAGCAGCACCTATGTGCAGGCAGCATAAGAGATCAAGAATAAATTAGGGATTAGGAGGGTTATGAGCAGGTAGTGAAGGAGAGAAATGTTATAGACCAATTCTTTTTTTAATTGCCTGTGTTTTAGTATGCTTCTAAAAAGTTAGTCAAACAGCGTGACAGATTTATGCTCTCTTCCATTACCTTTTTAATAAATGTTCTTCCATCTTGGCTCTCTTGGAGTGTGCTAAAGGATTTAGCTGCCCTAAGCAAACAATGACAGTGGTGCTCTGATAGGTGACCTGGAGCAAGTCAGACCAGTTCACTGTGCCTGTAGATGTGCCTTAATACCTTTTTGCTGCCTTATTTTAGTTACCTTTGTGTTATCTATTGTCAAAGTACTGCAGTCTCTGGATCAAGAGGGTCTGCAAGTATCAACTTATTACTCTTTACTGATAAACAGACAGGTTGGGAGCAGGAGGAGAAGTCTCCTCATTCCTGCTCATTCCTGTAGTGTGCTCGAAACCACTTTAATTCTGGAAATAACCCCACGGCCCAAGACTACAGTGGTCCAGCCCCTGTGCTTTTTGTTTTTCAGCAGTGCTGCTGCAGCTTCCAAAGGGTGGTTCACTAATGTCACTGAAAAGCTGCAGCCATTGAATTCTCTGGTTGTTCATAATTAGCTCTAATAGCACGTTTGAAAAGAGGTGGTAAAGCGATTGCCATGGGCGAGGGGATACAGAAAGGCAACAGGCTGCTCTGCTTTGTTGAAAAGGGGCATTTGTGTAATTGAATTACCTAAATCTTCAGAGCCAGAGGCCGTGTCAAAGTGGGTGGTGGGATGGTATTTTGGAGCCGAGTCTGAAAACAACCTTCTTCCCCTGGAAATGTTTGCCTTAAATGGAATATATTAATAACATAACAGTTATGAAGGAGCTCAGCAACGTGATTATAATTTTCATTTCTAGCTTTAAAACACATGAAGACACAAGTTTTCCTTGCAGAGGAAGAGCAAAACTGGAACTCCTTTTTCCCCTGAAGAGAGAGTTTTTCCTTGCAGTGTTTTCTCTGGCCTTGGGAAGGAGATTTTCTGGGATCAAGGGAGGCGCTGAATGCGAGCTGTGCAGAGCTGCACCCCAGCAGCTGTGCCATGGCATCCTCAGCATTCTCTGTGCCCAGAGCAGCAAGCTGGCCTGGTCAGAGCCTTTATTTTATAGCATCATGGAATGGTTTGGGTTGCAAGAGACCTTAAAGATCATGTGTTTGTCCTCAGTTTTCTCTGGTGCTGCAGTGCCAGTGCAGAGGAGACAGCAGAAGTCTCCTGGGTGTGAGGTGCTGCTCAACCAGCTTTCAGAGAAGCTCCTTCAGTGTGTCTGGGGGGATGTTTAGGCATAGTGTGCTGCTTCACTGCTCTTAGGTGGAAGTTCCTTTTGGGGCAGGGTCTAAGTCTGGACACCTCCTCCTGCAAGAGCAAGGCGGGTAAGGGGGCTCAAAAAGGAGAGTTCTGTGCCCTGGTGCCAAGGCCTCACGTGATTGCTTGTCTTATGCAGGGTATAGGGGGTGTGTATGTATATATATATATATATATATATGTATGTGTGTATATATATATATCTATCTACTGCAGGTGTACAAATTGCTAGTACAGGTTTAAGAAAGATGAAGAACATCACGATACCATAATTGTCCAATGAGAGAGAGAAGGACAAATATCAGCTCCCACTTGTAATGTCGAAACAGTAGACCACAGACTCTCCTCCTGGACTTGCTGTGGCTGCACTTTGTTCCATTTGTGGGTACTCCTTACTCCAAAATAGTAATCCATGTGTTCAAGGCGTGCCTTTGGGAATGCACAGGAGACTCTCCTGGAGTGGTTGCCACAGCTGAGCTTACTCTGATAAAGCTTTTCAAGCCTATCTGGCCATGCAGGCAAGTCTTAAATACTGTTCATTGTCAGCGGAACTGTACCACTTGACACACAGGATAATTAAGGGCTGTGTACATATCTGTGTGCTAGAGCAGCTGAGTTAAAGTTGTATCTAAATATTTTATGGTTTTTAAACTGCGTCATTGTGCAGTTATCAATGTTATGGTAATAATTTTCTATGCTTTCAGTTTTTTTCTGAAAGGAAGAAAAAGGCTATAACTGATGTTGAGTTTTTATTTGCTGACTTTTCACTTTCCTCGTAAAGGTGCAAAGCACTGCACTGAGACTTTAAACCTCTTGCCAGCAAGTTCCCAGTGGTCATCCATGGACCCTCAGAGGTTTGAGAGGGAAACTTGAGACCAAAGCTGAAAATCATCAGGTTAGGAAATCTCTTGCTAGTGTATGTGGATTTTATTTTTATTCATACATATACAGCAGTAATTTTGGTGAAAAGTGAAAAGCATCTAGTGTCTGTGCTGTCTGCAGAGAGCATTGGAGGATTTTTGGTGACAGTGTTGGATTTTTGTCTTGTACCAATTCATGCAAAACTACCCAGTCATATTTATGCACTGAAGTGATGCTTGTCAGCATGATATTTTGAGTTAGATGGATTTTTTTTCCTTTTTTTTTTTTTTTTGTTTTTGTTGTTTTCTAAAAGACAAAAAAAGCAGGAGGAGCATGGTTGTCTCCCGAGGTTGTCTTTTTTCCCATTTCCCTGCCACACACCTCTAGGAAGACAGCAGGAGGTGTTGAGTCAGAGGGCTCCTGGAGACAGGAACATGTAGCAGCCATCCCCTGCAATACCTTCACTCACGTCCTCGTTGGGGATAAAAAAAAAGAAAAAACCTTTTCAAATGAAGACAATACAAACATAATAAGTGGCAGGGAGGGTTCATCTCCCTCATGACTCAATCCCTCTCAAACAACATTATTATTGACTGGCCTATTGGTTGCCAAAAAGGAAAATCAATTGTACCAGAA